TGACCAAAAATCCAAGTCAAGTCTCAAGTCTCTTGACCTCAACTCCAAGACTTGAGACTTGACTTGGATTTTTGGTCAAAGACTTGAGACTTGACTTGGACTTGCAAAAAAAAGTCTTGCGCACATCTCTGCCTCAAGCGGCTCTGTTTGTGATGCGAGCGGAGAAAAGTCTTCCTCTGCATCACTCTCCCATACAGCATCTCCTTGTGTAAAGTGTGCTGAATAGTTGAACGATGCACAGTGACTCCATCAGCAGCAAGATGATGTTTGTAGGTCTTTGGTGCTTGTCTGTGTGTTGACTCTGACTGTTCTCAACATCCTTCACTTTTGTTTATTCCAGATTTTTCTTGGTCTACCACTTGGAGCCTTGACTTGAACTGTGCCTGTGGTCYTMCATTTTCTCACAATGTTTCTCACAGTGGAGACTGAAAGCTGAAATCTCTCAGATAGCTTTCTGTATCTTTCCCTTAAACCATGATGGTGAACAATCTTTGTTTTCAGCTCATTTGAAAGTTGTTTTGAGACTCCCATGCTGYSACTCTTCAGAGAAGATGCAAAGAGGAGRAAAAMCTACAATTGCCTCCCTTAAATACCCTTTCTCATAATTGCAGTCACCTGTGTATGGAGGTCAAGGGTCACTGAACTTACCAAACCAAATTTAAGTTCCAAGAAATCAATAAAATGACAACAGTGCCCAAATTTATGCACCAGCCTAATTTTGTTTAAYKAATTATTGCACACTTTCTGTAAATCATTTCAACTTCATTTCACTTCTCAAATATCACTGTGTTTGTCCCCTATATGATATATTTTACTGATATTTTTTACTCCAAACAATCAATGATTTATAAAGGTAAATCAGGAAAATTAACAAGGCTGCCCAAACTTTTGCATCCCACTGTATTGCATAAGTTGACCCACATTAAAAGGGTATGTCAATGTTTCTCTAACCACTCTGATCATCCTTTATCTTTTAATTTTCTCCCTAAAAAAAGCATGCACAACTTAGCTAAAGATACAACTTTTGYCAGCTCACCCAGTGGGCATCTCCAGGCCACCAGTCTTCCTTTCGC